GAAGTGTTGAAGAACAGGATGAACTTTGCTCGTTGTTGGGGATGAAGGATTTGAAGATTGAATCTTCCCAACGTAGGACTTTTCTTGTAGAGTGTTATGATGATTGAATCTCAAGAAGTATGTTCAGTGATTGGAGCAAAAGTTCTTGGCAAAAAGCTATTTTTCTGTTCTTCGGTGTGTAGCTTATATACTGAGGTTGTCTGCCCGTTGGAGGAGGAGACAACTGCATTAAATGCGCGTACAGTTGACTTGACCGCCGTTTTGGAAGGTTTCTATTTTTATAATAAATCTTCCCGGATTCCTTGGTCAATCATTTGCAATCAATCCTTCAGCGTATCAGGCTCATTTAATGTGCATTAAATGCTTTCCTTTCATGCACAGTCTTCTAGCCGTTGGATGTTTTTACCCGTTGGATTCATAGCTGTTGGATGTTGCTTGAAAACTTCTAAGTGTTAGTCGGGCTCTGATCAGGCTCTTCTGATGTGTTGGATTCTGATGGCTTTCTGATGAGTTGAGTTCTGAAGGCTTTCTGATCTCTAACTCTGACTCTGATAGGTCCGCTGATGAGTACCTCTGATCTGTAACTCTCATCGGTTATCAGATGTCCAAGCTTATCAGCAACTCTCATGGTGCAACTCTGATGGACTTCTGGTACGAGAACTCTGATGGAGCAGTTCTCATAGAGCAAGTCTGGTCGAGCAGTTCTGATGCACTTCTGATCTGATCCAAAACAGAGCAACTCTGATCGTCGACTACACTAATACTTACAAATGAAAATTCTAATACATAAAATCTAATTGGGGGTACTCTAACTTTCTAATCCTATAGCATCATCAAAATCTAATTACATTTATTCCTTACAATGCACGAATCCTTATCGATACCGGAGCGCAACGTTCATTCGTGAGTGAGGCGTTCGCCGAGGATTTAGGGATACAATCAACCCCAATGACGCAAACTCTAGTGGTATCAACACCACTAGGGGATGACATTGAAAGAGCTAGTTACTATCCATCTTGTGAGGTGGAAATCGATGGCCAAACCTTGACGTGTGATTTCGTACCGCTGGGTATGATGGAGTTCGATGCAATCCTAGGGATGGATTGGCTAGAAAAGCATCGTGCTAGGGTAGATTGCTACACAAAGGTTTTGGAACTCGAAGGCAACGATGGGGACACCATACGCTTCGAGGGGGATCGAGGCAAATCCAACAGTTGTATCATATCCGCCGTGAGAGCGAGAAGTATGATAAGAAAGGGGTGCCACGCATATCTAGCATACGTGATTGACAAAACCAAGGAGGAAACGAACATCGACGACGTGAGGGTGGTTTGTAAGTATCCGGATGTCTTTCCTAAAGACCTACCGGGGCTTCCACCTGATAGGGAGATTGAATTTGTGATCGAGGTCGAGCCTGGTACCAAACCAATCTCCATACCGCCATACCGTATGGCACCCGCTGAACTTAACGAGTTGAAAACCCAATTGCAAGAGCTTTTGGATAACGGTTTCATTAGACCAAGCCACTCCCCGTGGGGAGCACCCGTTCTTTTTGTGAAAAAGAAAGGTGGGACACTTCGAATGTGTATTGACTATCGTCAACTGAACAAGGTCACAATCAAGAATAGGTATCCCTTGCCTAGGATTGATGACTTGTTTGATCAACTACGAGGGGCAACCGTGTTTTCAAAGATTGACTTGAGGTCGGGTTACCATCAATTGAAGATTAAGGAAGATGACATACCAAAAAGTGCTTTTCGCACAAGGTATGGGCACTTTGAATTCCTTGTTATGTCATTTGGGTTAACAAACGCCCCAGCGGCATTCATGGACTTGATGAACCGAGTATTTCATAAATACTTGGACCGATTCGTGATTGTGTTCATAGATGACATCTTGATTTACTCCAAGAGTGAAGAAGAACATGAGGAGCACTTGATACTTGTCCTCGAGACACTACGGGAAAAGCAACTCTATGCCAAATTTTCTAAATGTGAATTTTGGCTAAAGGAAATTGGCTTTCTCGGGCATGTGGTTTCTGGATCGGGAATTGCTGTTGACAACAAGAAGATAGAAGCCATTACCGAATGGGAGAGGCCAAAGAACGTCAAGGAAATTCGTAGTTTCCTTGGATTGGCAGGCTACTATAGGAAGTTTGTGGAAAAGTTCTCTGTTTTGGCATCACCATTGACGAAGCTCACTCGTAAAGGGGCTAAGTTTGTATGGGATGACAAATGTGAGAAGGGGTTCATGGAACTAAAGAAGTGATTGACCGAGGCACCGGTACTTGCATTACCCAAACAGGGTGTGGGGTACGATGTCTATAGCGATGCGAGCATCCAAGGGCTTGGATGTGTACTGATGCAGAATGGGAGGGTAATCGCCTATGCTTCACGACAGTTGAAGAAGCATGAGGTGAATTATCCTACTCATGATTTGGAGCTGGGGGCAGTGGTGTTTGCACTGAAGATATGGAGACATTATCTCTACGGGGAGACATGTCACATATACACTGATCACAAGAGCTTGAAGTACGTGTTTACTCAGAAAGAGCTAAACATGAGACAGAGACGGTGGATGGAGCTGATAAAAGACTACCATCTAGTGATAGAGTACCACCCAGGCAAGGCAAACGTGGTGGCAGATGCTTTGAGCCGGAAGAGCTCGTCTGGGGCATTGCTAGCTAATTTGAGGGCATTAAGAGCCCAACTGGAGGTATCCAGCGATGGTGCCTTATTGGCACGATTTGAGGTGAGACCTACTTTACTTGATGAGATCAAGAAGGGTCAGGAAACCGACGAAGAAATTATGAAGATCCGGGAACGCATGCAAGCGGGATCGGTGGAGGACTTCAGAGAAAGAGATGATGGTCTCTTATTATTTCGTGACCGAGTGTGTGTACCGGCAGATGACGAGCTCCGGAAGTCCATCTTAGAGGAAGCTCATTCATCGGCTTATGCCATGCACCCGGGGGGGCACGAAGATGTACCGTGACCTGAAGGAGAGTTACTGATGGTCAGGTATGAAGAGAGAAATAGCCGAATACATCAGTCGATGCCTTACTTGTCAACAAGTTAAGGCAGAGCATCAGCATCCAGCAGGCTTATTGCAACCACTTTCCATCCCGGAATGGAAGTGGGAACACGTGACTATGGATTTTGTGGTAGGTTTGCCACGGACAATCAGGAACTATGATGCAGTTTGGGTTGTTGTAGATAGGCTCACAAAGAGTGCACACTTCTTGCCTATCAACACTACTTACCCACTTGAGAGGTTAGCCAAATTGTATACGGATGAGATCGTGAGGCTGCATGGGGTCCCAGTGACCATTGTATCTGATAGAGACCCACGATTCACATCACGTTTTTGGCCAAAATTTCAGGAGTCTATGGGAACGAGGTTGAAGTTCAGTACTACTTTCCACCCTCAGACGGATGGGCAGTCTGAAAGAGTCATACAGATCCTAGAAGACATGCTGAGGGCTTGTGCATTGGAGTTCCAGGGAAGTTGGGACAACCACTTAGCACTTGTGGAGTTTGCCTATAACAACAGTTATCAGGCAAGCATCGGCATGCCTCCATACGAGGCATTGTATGGGAGGAGGTGCCGTACACCGTTATGCTAGAATGAGGTTGGCATGGCCAAACTCGAGGGTACTGAGTTGGTTGAGGTCACCAAATCAAAGGTGAAGTTGATTCGAGAGAGACTCAAGGCGGCTCAGGATAGACAAAAGAGTTATGCAGATAAGCGTCGAAGAACCTTAGAGTTTAAGGTTGATGACGAGGTATTCTTGAAAGTTTCTCCTTGGAAAGGGATCATTCGGTTCCAAACCCGAGGAAAACTAAACCCACGATATATAGGTCCATTCAGAATTATAGAGAGGATTGGGGCCGTTGCATATCGCCTACAGTTGACTCCCGAGTTAGAGAAGATACATAATGTGTTTCATGTATCCATGCTTAAGAAGTATGTGCATGATCCCTCTCACGTATTGGAGAAGCCACCTGTAGAGGTACGTGAGGATTTGAACTACGCTGTTCAACCTATCAAGGTCACCGATAGAAAGGTGAAGAAACTGAGGAGCAAGGAAGTCCCAATGGTTAAAGTCCTGTGGAAGAGCGATCGGGTCGAGGAAGAGACATGGGAAACAGAGGCTTTGATGAGGAAGCAGTATGCTTTCCTATTCGAGTAGAGCTGTGAATTTCGGGGACGAAATTCCTGTTAAGGGGGGGTGAACTTGTGACACCGCACCCGAACGTCCTTGAAAAATTCGATTTAAAAATTTAACATTTATGTATTGAATTTTCGATTGCCAAACAATTTGTAAAACGATTAATGTTTTACGTAGTGCATGACTGAATATCGTGCTGTTCAAACTCGTATGATAGTGTCGGGTTTGCAAACGCTTTTCGGGACTTATTAATAAATAAAAGAGCTCAACATTATCTAAATAAGTGATCGAATGATTAAAGAAGAATACCAACGCCTACAACCCTATCTTTGGCATTTTTGAGCTAAATAATGGGAGTAGGATTTTCCTTCTATAATATCCATCAAGTAAATTATTGGGATGAGCCTACACATATTGGAGATCAATAATGTGATTTAGGAAGTTGACTTGTTCTAAATAAATTAGGATGAGTACAAAAGGACATCTTTGACAAAGATAAAACAATAGGACCCATCTTCCCATTTTTGGAAGTATTGGTAGATATTTTGGACCTCAAATTGATTGGGATCAATTGGGGGGCATCCCATGTGGCTTGAGTACCTGCAAGACAAGGAAAATGGGTGAGAAGACTCACCTTGGCCGCACCACATGGAGGAGCATTGCCCATGACACAATTGGGATCAAATTTTGGGGCCACCACCACTGTTTTCGCACAAACAGGTGTGCTGTTTTGTCTCCCTTTATGAGTGAGGTTATACTCGGCCAAATGAGGTGTATAAGGTGTCCTTGGATAGATTTTGAAGTCTATTTTTATAATTGAGTGGTCTCTGTTCGAGAGGAGAGAGAAATCATCCAAAAATCGATCTGGAACGAGCAGTGGTCTGTGAACTCGAGCTGTGGGAGTGCTGGGACTGTCTGGTTGATATCTCGAGTTTTAACAATCCAATTAAAGCGTGTGAGATACCAAAAGAAAGCTCTCAAGACGAGGAATCCGTGAAGGTCTGGTTTGCATCAATCGGAGTTGTGGAAGGCTTCCAAATCGTCCGAGCAAAACACAACCTCGCAGGAGAGGATTTAATCTTCTAAAGTGAGTTTTAACCCCAAAACTTTACTTTTCATTCTCCAAATGATATGAACGATTGGTGGGACTATTATACACTAATCCAAGTGTATAATATGTCCTTATAAAGTTATTTTATTGATGAAAAGGTTAGATACTAACCTAGAGCAAATCTTGGAAAAACTAGGAAACGAGTTAACCGGGAAACACCCGTTCTAGGGGCTGTTTTCGTATCAACGATTGAGGGTTGAACTAGCACTTTGAGGAGGCTGTTTAACACTCATATTTGAGCAAGGAATTATTTCCAAATCCACCTTGACCAAAGCTTTGACCATTGGACCAAGAAGGGAAAGTTTAAAGCTCAATTGAGGTGAGGATTGACATCTAATTGCTTACAACTTGTAGGTTAAGCATGAGATTACCTAAATGCTTAAATCATTATTTTTCATGAATTATGATGGTTACATATTGATGAAATATTGATATAGTTGCCAAAGAATGAAATTTGAAATGATTTGAGAATGCATGAATATTATGAGATTAAATGAGTATAAATGAACTATTTTTGTGAAATAGGCATTTTGCTCATGTATGAATTATGTGGTTACATAAATGAATAATTGTGTATTGAGATTGAATACTTAAGTTGCTGCTACATAATTATAATTATGTAGAGAATTACAAATAATGAGGATAATGGTATGATAACAATAATCTTAATAGTATTGAAATACTAGTTAGTGATTATTGGAACTTGTTGATTAAATTGATCCTAGGGATTGGATTGTATGAAATATACTTGAATGTAGTTCAAGTGTATCTAATAACTTAGTAAGGAACTAAGGTTAAGTTATGGGAAGTCTTTAAGGATGACCCATGGTAGTTTAATGATATGTCAATTCTAGGCATAGGGTTGCTTGAGAATTGGACCTTAATGCATGGTGATGTGATAGAGCCGAGCTCTAGAATGCATGTAAGGTGTAGACTTGGAGTCTATGTATTGTATAGATAGAGCCGAGCTCTAGGACTTGCGTGGTGATGTGATAGAGCCGAGCTCTAGAACGCAAGGTAGGGAAATTGACCCGAGGTATATGAATTGTATGGTGATGTGGTAGAGCCGAGCTCTAGAATACAATGTCATGTACTAGGGTTGGACTCTAGGAGTTGTCGTGGCTTATAGTCACGGGGTTGGGAATGGTGATTTTCCAAATGAACATGGGCCCACGGGCCGGCTACTTGACTTTTATATAAAGTAAGTATATTTTTAAACGGGGTAACTTAGGGTTACAATCATAATGTACTATCACCCTATTTGAGGGTCTTGTGTTTGAAATACTTGTTGTATATCTATTAGATGCCTGCCACACCAGTACTTTATAGCCGTATAGAGTACTGACCCCTTCGGGGGCGTCCCACCACCATTTCAGGTTGAGGCTAGAGCTTGCATCCTGTGCTCGTTGATCGAGTGATTCCTCGGAGAGAAGACTTGGTTCGTGCTTCCTCCATTCTATTTGAAACATTAATAAATTTGCTCATGGATATTTTACTATAGAGCCTGCGTGCTCATGAATAGCCCGGTGTGGCCTTTTGCTTTAAACAATGTTTTCCGCTGCGTTATGAATTACTTATTATGTTTGTTTATGGATGTTATATGTGTGAATGATATTCATGACGCCTTGTATAATATGAATGTGTTGGACTGCGGTTGACTATTCGTATTGTACGGCGGGTTGTTGACGTGTCCGGGTAGGTCCGGGGCGTGACAGTAGTGGCCAAGCTTCTTGACGGTCCAAACAATGGCTAGGACCGTTTTTTCCACAGGGGAGTACCTGAGTTCTGCCTCCTTGAGGGTCTTGCTAACATAGAAGATGGCATGTTGGATGACATCTTCCTCCCGTGACTATTCCGGTCATCTGCGGCTCTGACCGTCAGGCCTGCCGCGGCCTGACTTCGACATTTACGAAGGGTTTAGTCACGGACCTGACCGTGAGTATGACCATGACTAAACAATTATATAAAACAAACACTTAGCGTTTTTATCATTCCTACGCACCCCAAACTCCCAAACCCTAAACTACCTCTCTCTTCTCTCTTCCTTCTCTTCCAGTTCGGTTAGTGCCGCGCCACCTAGCATCCCGAACTGCCACCACCGCCACCGCAGTCACCGCCGCCGGTCTAGTCTTCGTCGTCGTCCACAACCAGCCGTCCGCCGCCTTCCTTCGCCGCCCCTTCTTTTCTCAGTCAAGGTTATGTGTTCTTTTCATCTTATTTTCTAATATTTGATTAAAATTCCAAAAATGCATGATACTATACTCAAATGCATGATAAGATACATGATTTTTAGTTTCATATCATTTTGTAATGTTCAAAAGTTGTATGTATGATTTATTATCTGCATGATTTGTAGTTTTGCATGATAATTTCGTTTTATATGTTTAATATGCATGATTTATATGTTTTGTATGCATGATAACTATGTTTAAATGATTTAGATTATTATATGTTTAATATATGTTCATATGCATGATTAAACTACTTAATAAACTGTTTTTTAAAATGGTAACTTTAAAAAATTTAATTTCCGAATTTAATTTTTGAAAATATTTAAACAAACTTTTTAAATAAACTGTCTTTATTTTCTTGTTCATATTTAATATTCTTTTTTGGTTAAACCATGCTCAATATATTTTCGAACTAATGAATGTTTATACAATTAGTTTGATGTTTAACATATATGTTTAGTGTTTGATATGCATGCATCCCTATAGTTATACAATGTTTATGCTTTTCATGCTTTAACCTGAAAGATTTAAAAAAATTGCCCCCTCATGTTAAGCTTTCACAAACTTAACATGTTTAATTATAATTTTACAAATTTTAAAATAAACATAAAAAAGTATACTGTTTTCCCAATTATTTAAAAAACATTAACGAATTTTTATGTTAAACATAAAAAAGTATACTGTTTTTTATAAACAGTTTTTATAAGTATAAAAAGTAAAAATTGGATAAAACACTGTTTTTATAATTATTTAAAAAAGTATAAAACAGTTTTTTAAAAACTGGATATAAGCAGTTTAAAAAAAATTGTTTTTTAAAAACTGGATAAAACCATATTTTTCGAAATTACTGTTTTGTAGAAAGTATAAAAAATGATTTTTATAAAACAGTTTTTATAGCAAAAATGGTAAAGTGATTTTTTAAAAAAACTATAAAACTGATTTTTGTAAAAAAAGTAGACTATTAAACTGTTTTTGTAAATAGTTTAATTGTTTTTCTAAAAACTGATTTTTATAATAAACTGAATTTTGTAAAAACTAATTATTAAACAGATTTTTGAAAAAACAGTTTTTTTTTGTAAAAACTGATTAATTAACAGATTTGTTAAAAACAGAATTAAAAAAAACTGTTTTATATAAAAACTGTCTTTATAACGGTTTTTATAAAAACTGTTTTATATATACTGTACAGTTTATATAAAAACTGTTTTTATGAAAACTGTTTTATATAAACTGTTTTTGTAATTTATTTAATAAACTATAAAACTGTTATTTAGACATTATAAAAAACCGTTTTTTGTATAAAACTGTTTTTATAATTTATAAACACAAAGTATACTGTTTCTCTAGAAAACAGTTTTTATAAAAACTGTTTTTTATTTAAAAAGTATGTTGTTTTTTATAAAAAAGTATACTGTTTTTCTAGAAAAACGTTTTTATAAAAAAAGTATACTGTTTTTATAATCTATTAATGTATTAATAAATTGTTTTAAATAAGTAAACAGGTTTTTTATATAAAAAAATTTGTAAAAAACTATCTTTACAAACTGTGTTTTTACAAACTGTTTTTATATAAAAACCTTTTTTTATAAACTGTTTTTGAAAAAAAAGTAAACTGTTTTTATAATTTTTTAAAACTTTTTATAAAAAGTGGATAAAACTCATATATCTAAAACATAAAAAAAATGATGTCCTCTCATGTAAACTTTGCAAAAAGTTTAACACGTTACCTCTAAGAGCAAATTATTTCCAAGTTGTAAAAGAACTTATGGTGAAAAAATATGGACCCCTCATATTAAACTTATACACAGTTTAATATGTTATACACATTTTCAATTGATAATACTTATATATAGTTTTTATACTGACATTTATGTCAGTACATGCGCTTGGGAGAGCCCATCAATGGCGCTCAAGCCGCAGCCCGAAGAATCGACCGGTTGGAGCTTATCAATGAATCGACTGGGTCAACTCATTGATAAGCTCCAACCGGTCGATTCTTCGGTCGACTGGGTCAACTCATTGATAATTATAGGATTTGTTTATTAGCAATTATTTGACCCCTCATATTAAACTTATACACAGTTTAATATGTTATACACATTTTCAATTGATAATACTTATATAAAAATTTGATCTTCTATTATAATCACACTAACAAAAAACAAAATAAATTAATGTATTTTAGATGACCGACGAACACTCGACATCGGCTGCCCGCCCTAACTATGTGCCCATGACCGAAGCCGAGCGCAACAATGAAAGAGCTGTTTGGGTGACACCTCACCAAGTTGCTCAGTAAGTAGTTATGAACAAACCTTATGTCAAATAATTTTATATAATGTCAAATAATCTAACCAAATCTTATATAAATGAATACTATTAATTTTTTGAAGTGACAAGAAGTGTTCGACGGCATCAAAAACATAATTGGAGGACACTTTCTTGGCAATTGGGCCACCTACACGGATGTTGACCCCAAGGTCCGCGAACTATGGTGGAACCTATTCAAGGTAAAAATAAATGAATGTTCCCTGCGTAATTGTAGTAGCCTAATATATAACAAATGATTAATTAATCCAATTTTTTTTAATAAAGGCTCGCTTTCGTTGGACTCACGCAAACGGTGCGGCTATTCTTAGAGCCTATAATAATAGGATTTTGACCTGGCTTCGGCCCACTTTTAAGCGTGCCCGAAACCGTGTGAGACAGCCTAAATGGGTTTCGGATGAAGTGTGGGCCAACCTTTGTCGTCACTGGTCTTCGGATTCGAAATTCTTGGCCATAAGTGAATCCGGTAAGAAAAACCGGATGTCCGAGAAGGCCTTGGAGACGCAGTGGCACGGGGGTCGCAAATCTCAGAGTGCCCATAGAGAAACTCTTGTAAGTGCTATTAAAAAAACCTTACACCATTACAACCCTTCATTATAAAAAATTTACTTAAGCCTTTTTCACACCATGTAGGCTAGTCCTGAGAAGAAGAGGGTTGGAATTCTCAAGCTCGTCAAGCATTGCTGGACGAAGCACGGCGAGGAGTCGAAAGCCGATCTGCCACCTCGCCTCGCTGACTTCGAAGTATGTAACATCATTGATATGCACTAGTTTATAGTGCATAAGTGCATGTTTTTATATTGATCTTGTGTGGACTTTCCATCACTTTTAGTTAGTTTGTAAGTATTTGTTTTATTTTAGTTGTTATTGTTTTTACCTTCTATTTCTAGCTATAGAATAGTGATAGAGTTTTTAGCAAGCAAAAGGGGAGAAAAGCTGAAGACAAAAATGCTCAGGAACACAAACCCGACCGGGTCAGACCTTGAACCCGGTCGGGTCAGTTAAAGATCAGGATCTAAGAGGAAAGAGTAAGACCCGGTCGGGTCCCTTACTCGACCCGGTCGGGTCAGATTTGACCCGGAGCACCAAACCCGGTCGGGTCCCTTACTTGACCCGGTCGGGTCTGACTTGACCCGAACAACTTAACGTGCTGAAACACAAAAACGTGGGAGATAATCTGATTTTGACCGGTACCCGGTCGGGTATGTACCTATACCCGGTCGGGTACCCGGTCAAAGGTGTTGAAAAACACCTATAAATTGCACACTTTTTCCTCACAAAAAATATCCCTTCTTCCATATACTTAAGCTCAGTTTAGAATAGCATTTCTTTATATTTCTTTTAGCATGTTTAGTCTCCAAATGAGGAGCTAAACTTCCATTTCTTGGTTTTGCTCTTGAAGCTTGTTGATTATTAAAGTTGTGAGTTATTTTCTTACTTTCTCCTCTAGATTATTAATTCTTCCCTTAATCTCATTCTATATTAATGTTGGAGGGTGGCTAAGTGACAATTAGTTAACGTTCTGACATTGATTATTACTAGAAACGATCAACGAACCGATGGTTAAACGTTGATGGTTTCACAAGTAAGTAACTTCGGTTTATTAATGCACGGTCGTGGTTAATAAACTTAAGAGGGATTAATTTTGTTGGTTAAACCGAAACCGTTGTGTTGAGGTTATCAATCTTAATTGATTTCATCAAGGAGTTAAAGAGGTTAAATGCTACTATTATATCGGTATACGGCATTGTTCTATATTTGATTAATAGTAAGGGTTATTAATGAACGGTCGTTGTTAATAACTACCCTCGATGAATTGGAGATACTCCGCGATTGAGTATTCGAGAGGGGATAAGTTATAGATATAACAATGATCGACTAAAATATATCAACAAGTGGAAAGTAGCAAGACCAAGTCCTCTTTTATTCTTGAATTTAATCCCATATAACTCGTTCATCTTCGTGTTTAATTTAATTAAATCACTCAACAATCAAAACCCCCCCTTTATTTACTATTTACATAAAAAGAAAAGTTATTCCTTTCCCTGTGGATACGAACTCTACTACGCTATACTACGTATAGTTGTTAGTATTGAATTATTTTGAGTGCACACATGACAAAGTGTACGTCAATCATATTTTGTTATTTAGTAACATTTCAAATCTAAGTATGTAGCATTTAAAAATATTTTTTTAAATGCAGACGAAGTACAACGAAACCGTTGACAGGCAGCGTGCGGAGCGAGGCTTGACCCAGGAGGACGAGCTCGATTCCGATGCGGATGATGAGGCGGCCATTGAGGCGGCCGGGGTTTACAAGGGTCGGGTTCCGTGCCTGGGGGCCGAGGGGCAACGGATTTTGTATTGATCGAAGCACCGTCGCTTCCTCTTCTCGATCAAGGCGGGGAGAAGATCCTCGTATTGCCCAAATGCAACGTGAACTGGAGGAGCACGAACGGAGATGGGAGGAGCAGCGGAAAAAAGAGGAAGAAACAAAAGCCCGGCTGGAGGAGATGGAACGGTTCATGCGTGCCGGATTCCAGCCTCCGCACCAGCCTTTTCCTCCCCCGTACGTATTGCACCCTGAGCAAACTCCTCAAGTTCCGCACATGAGCGGTATGGGTTTTTTCTCTAACTCCGGATACGGTGGCACGCCTACGATGGGTCCGAATTTCGGATCTATGTCCTTTGATTTTTTGAGGTCATCCGGAGGAGGTAGTGGTACACCAAGCCATGGACCCGGAGGAGGACCCCGAGGAGAACCCCGAGGAGGAACCCGACCCGACGACCCCGTACAGCAGCCCGAAGACCCCCCATGAACCCACAAGAGTTTCTTGTTGTTGATGATGATGATGATGATAATGAAGATAATACTAATTTTTATCGTAATGGAGTCCGACGATGAACGAGCATGTAATCATACATTTATAAGTTTAGCATTTCATATTACATTTATAAGTTTGTCATAATTTTTATTAAGTTTGTTGTATGTGTTTTTTTAATGTTTTAATTGCTTTACTGCTTAAAATGTAATTTTTTTCTTTAAAAAATTAGATTTTAAAGAAAATATAATAACATATTTTCAATAAATAAAATTTAAAATATAACTTTTAATTTTTTTAAATGAAATAATATATTAAATAAATTATATTATTATTTTAAAATATAATTTAAAATAATATTTTAAATATCATTCGTAAAAACATTTTTTTTTTAAAACGGAAAAATGTTTTTTTAAAAAAAACAAAAAACTTAGTCACGGCCCTAATCCGTGACTAAGGTTACTTCAGAATTAATTTTTTTTCTTTTTAAAAAAATATAGTCACGGATTAATGTCCGTGACTAATTCAAAATTTCAAAAATAGAAAATCAGAACCGCGGTCTTTTGAAAATTTTGAAAACTTAGTCACAGTTGAGTCCGTGACTAAGATGGCGGAATTTTTTAAAACCGGATTATAGTAGTCACGGATTAGACCGTGACTAATATATAAAAATAAAAAAATACAATAGTCACGGCTGTGAACCGTGACTAACACGTCGGAGAAGGTTTTCCGGCGTATTATTAGTCACGTCTATTGTCCGTGACTAACCCGTGACTAAATGTAGTCACGGTTATGTGGCGGTGACTGCTTTTAGTCACGCTCATTAAGTCACGGATTTAGTCACGGCTAGCGACCGTGACTAACTTTGTTAGTCACGGAAAATGTGAACTGCAGTCCGTGACTAAATTCGTGACTACGCGCGTGTTTTTTTTGTAGTGGGCCGTCCCCATGTCTACGAGTCTAATCGTCCCCGCCGCCGTCTCCACGCCTGCTTGATGCTGCCGTCCCCATGCTATGGAGGATGTCCCTATGCCGCGGGCCGCGGCGCCGCCTTATCCCCATGCCTGCGTGTAGCCGTCATCCCTATGCCACGTCGTCATGACGATGCCCATGCCGCGGCGTCGCAACCGCCCCTTGCCTAGCACCTACCCGCGGTTGGAACTGTCTCCATGCCGCAATACCACAACTATATAACTGTTTTCCTGAAATTATGGTTTGTGATCATTGAGAGTAAATATGGGCAGTAAACATGGACTGTTGCTAGAAAGATAATGTTGAATATGACAGTGAACATGACATTACATAGTGTTGTACAAGAGTAGTGAATGAATTCATTGATAAAGTGTCTTGCGCGGTGAATCGAAGGCTATAGAGCAATAACGACAACACAAGATATAATATATTTAACTAGACGTAAAATACTAATTTAAAGTTATTCCATCTTAAAATAAATAAAAAAGAACTCTAAAGAAATTCCTAACGTGGATGAAAATAGGTGATGGAGAAAGCTCCTGGGAGAAAACAACAGAAAACAGAAGCCTTCGGCACTGTTGAGCCCTCGGCATCAAAAAGCCTTCGGCTGAACAAAGCCTTCGGCTACACAGAGCCCTCGGCCACGCGACGCCCTCGGCTACGCAAGGAGCCTTCGGCTGACAGGCTCAATCATCGAAGATTCCTTTTGGAGACAGCCAACCACCGCATTTAATGCAACGTCACATCCACCCACCGCATTCAATGCGGGGAACATGCCACTGCCGGTGCCACCCATTTGATGTGACCCCTCGGCCGTTGGATTGATGACACGTGTACTATTTAATAAATCACGCTGATGTGACCCCACTGCCGGAGCAGCCCTTATTCTCCTCGTAAACGACGCTGAGTTCATTTAATAAATCAACTCTCTCTCCTCCTATTTTGCTCTGACTTCTCTCTAGTTATTCCCGCAATAACCCCTCGGATAAGATATTCCCCGAGTAGACTATCCCTCAATAGGATTAATGCTGGCAATAATGTCGTGCAGTGATTTTTACCGGATGTGCAATAATGTCATGCAGTGATTTTTACCAGATGTGCAATAATGTCGTGCGGTAATGTAGTGTAGTAACTGCGTGAAGCATAAAGTATATTATTTTTAATTGGACAAAATGGTGTAAAATGCACATTTTTTAAATAAGAATATTTTGATCATTAAACCTTTTAATATAACGAATTTTGCGTTTCATTTTTGCTTTTTAGTCATGTGAATGTTTTTTTGTTATCATCAAATAGCCTTCTTTTCATATCATAAGTTTCAAGATCATTACATCAGACTACTATAACAGCTACGACAATCAAAGGAAAAACTACTTTATCACTAACTAAACTCCAACAACTACGACTGTAAACTCTATGATCAGGCTTAGAGACGGTCACCCCTGAAAGCGCAATGCGAATCGCTAACCATGTAGCGGGTTTGACACAACCATCCCTGTTCTCATAGATCCAAACATACCCAATGACATAAAAAAGGCTGAATTTCCAAACAAACTGACAAACCTAACGACATAGACGATAACAAAAACCAAATGAAAAAATAAGAATAACTTATAGGAAAACTTTCACGAACCCTAGAACCTCGATCAAACCATGGCGGTGGTTCAGGAGGAGGTCGTACCATCGGTACCACTCTAATTGATCCTCCATTGTTGATCGAAATTTGGCCTAGACAAAACCCTTGCAACTATGTTGGGCTCTCTTCCTTCGCTTCATGCTGGTCGCCGATTGCTTGTTGTCGCCATCTTCTCTCCTCTGCTTCTGTTCGCCTTGCACTAGCCGCACCACATGGGCAGAATTTCCAAACCCTACGAAGAGGGAGAGTCTGCTGTTGTTTTGTTTAGTCATGTGATTGCTAAAAAACATAACTTCTCATATTTAGAAAAACTCAATACTCTTTATGTTTTAGGGAAAATTACTATTACCCCCCCCGAGGTTATGTCATAATTGTTATTGCAACCTTGCATTTTCAAAATTCAATTGGTTACCCCCTCAGTTTTGATCATTCTCACTATATGCCTCTCATGTTAATATTTCTTAAATTAAATTAAATATAACTCTTAAATTCAATGTAAGTTTTCTATAAATTAATTTCTAAAGTATAACATATATAATTTATTATCATAATTATATGTCATTGTTGTTGATCGTTATTTTTCTACTTTGTTACTCGATCGTGGAATAATTATTAATGTGAGTAGTTAAGGGGAAGATCCATGAGTAATATTCATGTGATACATCAAAGAATGTTATTTAAAAAATGTGTTGTCAAGATTATAGGCACTTCTTCATCATCAATATAAAAATATTTGAAATTCATCCGAATGAATTAGTCTCAATGACATTTCTTTCATGTGTAGCAAAGAAGAAATATCAAGAAAAAAGGAATTTCATCATTCCATGAACTAAAAGATAGGTCAAGCATCAATAAGCGACCTAAAATATACGAAGTAGAATGTATCGGTATAGGAGCTAAATAATTGAAAGCTGTTGATCTAAGACCTAAAATAACATGGATTTTGATTTATTTAAATGTTTTATTTACTCTGTTAATAATTTGTGATGATTCTATCTTCACAATTTTTTATAGTAAAAATTCTATTAGTTTTATAAGATTGAATGATATTTAATTTTCTAAAATAGAAGTATCGAAATTCATGATATTTTATATCTTACGTAGTACTTGTGAGTATTTTCCCTTAACTACTCTCAATAATATATATTCCACTATGGAATAGCTAAGTAGAAAAATAATGATCAACAATAATGAATCATAAATATGATAATAATTTATGTTTAAATTTAAAAATTAATTTTATAAACAATTTTCATTATTAAATATAAGAGTTATATTAAATTTGATTTAGCAAATATTAATGTGAGGGGCAAAGAATGAGAATGATCCAAACTCAGTGGGTAACTAACTGATTTTTAAAAATGGAAGATTACCTTCATAATTATGACATAAACTCATGGGCTAATAGTAATTATCCCTATGTTTTAATTGTATCACATAAAATTTCCCAACATATATTTCCCTCATAAAACACATTTTGTACAAATAGCTATTTTGCTTATCTAATTTCAGACTTTGAGCAGGTTCACCGGTCTGGCGAACACAGTTCTCACGCTTCATAGTATCAGTTTGGGCAGGGGAGAGACTGGGAGTCATCTCTGCTCCGGAGCCGTATTCTTCTCTACCATTAAGCAATAATTTAATTTTCTTACTCCTCAGCTCAAGTTTTTCTTTTTTCAACTCTTTCAACCGGAGTAAGGGTTGTCTTATGGTTCCAATATTTTCGTTTCTTTTAACATAAAATTCCAGACCCAACTAATTTTCATGTTCACTGCAGGGTTTTGTCTGTAATGGCTCGAACCGTGGGAAAATGGATTAAGGTTTGCTCATACTTATAGGGCGTTTGGTAATAGTTATTTTGTTGAAAGACTTCAAACAGCTGAATGTGCTTATTTTTAATAAAGGGTAAATCATTTAGTAAAATCCATTTCAGCCAAATAAATCAAGGCTAATGCTGATTCAGCAAAATGAGCCGAAAGAGCCAACCAAAGGGGAATAGGGGATGCTAATAACTCTACCATTTAGTTGCTTGTATTGTGAGTTAACTTTAAATCCCATTGAATTTGTTGTGAAAGATTATGTGTTTTCTTCTTTGTGGAAATGTGTGCGGATATTTTTGCATTGCCTTGATTGTTTGAATCCTTGCGTTATCAAATCTTAAAACTGCTCTGTTTAGAAATTGGTTATCATTTATAATCCATTATATGTGTCTTCAAGTGAAGGTCTTTAAAGACAGAAATATGAAAGCAATACGTTTCTCGCTCCCTTGATACAATTTTTGCTACTACTCTCAAGTGCTCTGAGTTGGATGTTTAAAATCCACTAATTAATCCAAACAATAAAGATAGATTCACATGTTTTAGATACATTCTTATGTGACAAGCACTGATTAGATGATGACAAGTTGTTCTACTTTTCATTATCCAATACGTTTATGTCAAATCAAAGTGTAGCTAAAGAATGTATAAAAAAATGTTTACCCATCCTTACTTCAGAAACAACGCAAATGAGGGTAATCCCGGATGACTATAACGAGTATAAGCTCTTATGATCTGACTACAGAATGCCTAAAACATAGGTTGCAAATTAAATTGCAACTTCCGCACTAGATATGCATGGATGCATTATGCATATCATCTTGAGTAATATCTGCTTCCTAGTAGCATTCTTTGAATACTTGTTTGGCATGGGTTCACTACACACCTGATTGGCTTGGGGTTTGTTTGGTTCAGGGCTTTCAGAGAGGATGAATGGGGTGGGGTAATTTTTGTTATTAAACTATTCTTTCTAAGTTTAAATGGTTGGTAGTTTGGTACTAAAGTGAAGCTTAAAAGCTATACAGAAATACGTGATCTAGCTAATTAATCCGAACAATAAAGATAGATTCGCATCCTCTCTTTCTGTATTCTTAATCTAAGAAAGAGATACAAATTAATAGTAAATATCCATCCTCTCTTTCTATGCCCTTCGAAACCCCTAAACCAAACAAGCCTGTAGATTTCATGCCCACCTATTAGATGAACAAATGTGAGTCTAGCCATAGTTCATAAACCACTTGAGAAAAATGTATGGACAAATGGACAATGTCACGGTCTGTAAGTGAAATTTAGAGATGAAACTGACTGCATTGGTTATTTTTCGCTTGTTAAGTTCAAAATCACTTCAGTATTTCTATTTTTAGCCAGAAGAAAACCATTTATTGCAATTTTTTCCAATTTCGTTACTACTTATTAACAGTGTTCAGATTGTGAGGGAGGTAGGCTAGTGAAGGATAGGTACGGAAAAGAAGGAAAATGTTTATACTCTGTTTGGATTGGATAAGTTCAAGGGGAGGGAGAAATTATAGTGGATGAGACGTTCTCTTGTTTGAATTACAAAGGGAATGTAGTTCCATATAATTTATAAAAGATCATTATTTTGCTTTGGGGGTGTAGTGGAATTGAATTATGGACAGATGAGTCTTCCTCCAATCCCTCGTTCCCCTTTTCCCTTACTCCGAACAAACCTTTGACTTATTTGTTTTGGGGATTATGGAGGGGAGGAGAATGCCAACGTTTCTTTTAAAATTATTTCTACATATACACTCTTAGATGACTGAGAATAATTTGAAGATGAAAAATAACAATGAAATACATGATCATATAATTATTTGTAGTTTAAAACTAGCAAAAAAAGATAAATTAGTAAAATAAACAACAATCACCTTCCCCTCCTTCCACACTCCCCAACCAAACAAGCGTTTAAAGTCGAACCATTGATTGATTTGGTTCATCTTCATTTGGGATTTGTTTTTTCAGTTTTATGGATTTATGTTGATAAGCTTGCATCATTTGAACAAATCCCTAATAAGTTTTTTTCGAATGTACTATATGCAGCTGGATCAGTCAGGCACTGGACCTGGGGCAAGGAGCTCTCATGCAATTACCATTGTAGGACAAAAGGTCTATGCTTTCGGTGGTGAGTTCACCCCACGTGTCCCTGTTGACAATCAACTCTATGTATTCAATCTTAGTGACCAAACTTGGTCATTGGCTGAGGCTGTCACTGGAGATGTCCCTCCCCCTCGTGTAGGTGTCACTATGGCAACGATTGGGGAGACAATATACATCTTCGGTGGAAGAGATGCTGAGCACAAAGAGCTGAACGAACTTTATTCTTTCAACACATCCACGAACCAGTGGACCCTCTTGTCAAGCGGGGATGACGGCCCCCCAAACCGGAGCTACCACTCCATGACAAGTGATGATCAACACATATTTGTCTTTGGTGGGTGTGGTTTGACTGGTCGGCTCAATGATCTATGGGCTTACAATATTGTTAGTGAAAAATGGGCAAAGTTTCCCTTGCCTGGGGATGCTTGTAAAGGTAGAGGTGGACCAGGATTGGCTGTAGTCCAAGGAAAAATCTGGGTTGTGTATGGATTTTCAGGTGATGAACTTGATGATGTACATTGTTTCGATGCAATTGAAGAGAAGTGGACTCTTGTCCAAACTAAAGGAGAAAATCCATCTGCCCGGAGTGTGTTTTCAACAACTCGGATTGGGAAGTACATATTTATATATGGTGGGGAAGTTGACCCAAGCGACTTAGGTCACCTTGGTGCTGGAAAGTTTTCTGCTGAGGTTTATGCTCTTGATACCGAAACACTAGTTTGGAAAAGGTGGGATGCCGCTGGAGATCTTCCAGGGCCAAGAGGATGGTGTGCTTTTGCTGGCGGGCAGCGAGACGGGCAAGAGGGGCTGCTAGTATATGGGGGTAATTCACCCACGAATGATCGGCTTGGCGATATATTCTTTTTCACTCCTTTCTTGGAGCGTTAACAACAAATATATCTACGGAGTGTTGCTGGATGAGTAATAATGTATGAGTAAAGTTCTGAAATTTGGTTTGATTGGCAACAATAATTGGCTAATATTTTGGTTTCTCTCCTATATGCTTGCTTTTTTGCTTACATTGTTTTTTGTGCTCCACTGTCGCTACTATATATTCTCATCATCACTATCACATCATGTCATGTTGTGATTTTTATGCCTTTCTTTTCTTGCCTCATTTACCCAATCGTTTTAGTTCCCATTGCTCACACTATTTTTGTTCGCTCATGCAACTTCTTTACTTGAAATTTGAATCTTAAAAAACTTTAAAAGTTGTGAGTTTTTTAAGAACTAGTTATATAATCCAGGTCATATTCGTGGTTACTTTTGAAATTCTAAAATCTGGAAACATAATTATTATGTGGATGAAGATCATATGCGGTACATTGACAACAATGCAAGAATCTTATGCGTTAAAAGAGAAATATGTGTGAAAATAAAAAGTAATACTCCTGTTGAGAGCAAGTTTGCAGCTATGTAAGCAACAAGTACGTATATACCTATCAATACTTCTTTTTGTTTTTAATTTATTCACAGATCAACTACTCTAAATTCTACTTAGAAATTTAGAATATGTCTGTGTTTAATTTGTGCTTATATTATAACTTGAATTATGATATTTAAGCAATCTTAGCTTGTTGACTTATGCTTCCAGTTATTTATGATGGGGAAAAGGTGCAAATAGACCCATGTACTAACCAAAAAAGGTCAAATAAGCCCTTATTTAGGAGGCTTTGTCCGGCCGTCCCCATTTGCAGTGGTTCCCGGTGGAATTTTTTGATGAAATTTTTTCAACATCTTATTCATTAAGTCTAGTTTGCTCATACCAAATTTCACCTAAAACTTCAATCGGGAAGGCATTCAAATGAATTATTGAAAATAACTGCACAGTTAGAAGCGCAATTATCTTCAAGAATTCATTTGAATGCCTTCCCGATTGAAGTTTTAGCTGAAATTTGGTATGAGCAAACTAGACTTGATGAATAAGATGCTCAAAAAATTTCATCAAAAAATTCAACCGAGAACTACCCCAAATGACGACGGCCGGACAGAACTACCTAAATAAGGGCTTATTTGACCTTTTTTGGTTAGTATATGGGCCTATTTGCACCTTTTCCCTTTATGATGAATGTGTACGTCTGCTGATCCCTTCATACATATGCACACACACTTGAGAAGAAGGGGATCGAGCTAGCTAGTTTGGCTTAAACATTCAAAAGAATTTGGGATAAATAAGACTAAAAACGTTTGAGAATTTCAAAATATGATTGTTATAATTTTATTTTCTATTTAGGAATAATTACTGTCAAGTTTAGAATATATCGTCATGTTTAAAGTCTGGCACTACCAAAATATGAGAGTAATTACTTCTATTTAGAGAAAAAAATATGATAGTCGTATTTTGAAATATACAAACGTATTTACTCCTATTTAAGACAATTTTCCCAAAGAAATTTAAAGTCTTGTTGATGCCGCTGAAATGACTTTTAATGATTAATTAATTCTTCCGTCTCACTAAGATTAACCCATAACAAATTTGATAAAGTTTGTGTGATTGCAAATCATTCTTACTTTATTTTTACTTTATTCAATATCAATCACATAAACTCTCTTTTCTTAATAACCACATCATCTCTTCAATGTTAGTCGACAGAGGTAATATTACATAATTTAATCATTTTTATAAACACATAATTTAATCATTTATGTAACGACATTATTGAGTTCAATTTGAATTTTATCTACTTAACTTTTGTAAACTCAAAGCTATTTTTTTATCCATTGTTGATTGAATCTATAAATTATAAAGACGAGATATTCCATGTACCTAATTACAAATTTGAACAACTTTCTGGAATTGTAATTGGATTCAAGTAATTATGAACGATAATGGACTCCTTAATGTGTTCAATTTTCAAATGTTGTATGCCCATCTTGATTATATTATTATAAAATTAATATACTAAGTTACTGAAGCTCTAGTTCAGTAAAACAAAGTTATTGTGTAGCTCAATCATTTGGGTGCGAATGTGTGATTAAGGAGCTCCTTAATTACATATTGGCCAAGCATCTCACATTCATGATCCGTATGTTGCTTACCATATACTTCGTACTAGTAATCTCCATTCATGATCTTAAAATAAATGGTTTTTTTATGACACATCATTGTCATATCACATTTATTAAATAAATTTTAAATAATCTCAAATCTTAAAATTCTCCATCAACCATGATATTCAAATAATCAGTTTTTCTAGACCATGCATTAAATGAAATGTAACTACAACCCAAAATAATCCGGGATTCAAATTTTGATACCGGATTATCTTTTTCAATAATCTCTCAAAATAATCTCTCATTCACAATGATAATCTTTAAAATAATCTTACACATCATCCAATTAAACTCTAAATAATCTAAACAATGAGGATGCCCTAATACGGAGTACTACGTAACTTATTGTTATCCGAGCCCAATTCCTTTATAATTTAAAGATAAAGATTATACTCTACTATTGCATGATAGGCTGATAGCGGCCTCTTCTACACGGTATACTATTCCAAATCTGATGCCTCTGTCCAGTTAACAATGATTTAGCTTGTATAATACGTACTATAAACCGAATTGAAGCGTCTTCAGTTGTCAGCATCACTGGCCATATGGTAATGCTTTCTTGACGTTTTTAGCCATGGATCATCTGTAATGATACATTTTCAAAAAACAAGACAAGATTGTTAAAATTAGACAAGTACGTACGTAGTATAGAAATTGAAAGATATTGCTCACTAGAGCAAAACAAGGTCTAATTTCATAAATATGACTTATTCTTAGAATTCACAAAGCGAGAGTACGTTATTATTACCTCTCTATGTCTACCACTTTTTTATTTACTACTTCGTACATAATACTTCCTCCATCCCAATTTGATGGTCTTGTTTCTTTTGAGCACAAAGATTAAGAAAGTGTGGTAGAAAGACTAAAGAACCTTACTTTATTGTACTGTTCATCCTTTTACTTTTACTGTTCATTAAAAAGGAGGGGTATAAATGGTAATCCACTATTAGTTCTTTACCAAAGAGGGAAACAATACCATCATTTTAGGACATTCCAAAAAGCAAATACAGGATCATCATTTTGGGACGGAGGAAGTAATAGCTAGTAGCGTTAACGCACCTGCTTCTTAGGATGTTTTTACTTGGACTGTAATTTGTCCCAGACCAGATCAGACCAAACCAGATCAAACCAGATCGGACCAGATCAGACAAGACCAGATCAAACCAGACCAAACCAGATCAAACCAGATCGGACCAGATCAGACAAGACCAGATCAAACCAGACCAGATCAGACCAAACCAGACCAAATTTAGATAGTTAAAAATACAAAGAAACCAGACTAGATTAGACCAGACTAGATTAGTCCAGACCAGCAAATTACAATCCAAGTAAAAAATCCTTATTCCTTTTTCATTAAAGTTTTTTTTGAAGGTGCATTAAAGTTCTCGATGCCGCATAGGTGCACACTCCCCCTTTCTCCCCCATGGGATGAAAAAAAGTACTCCCCCGTTTCCAAAAGATTGTCATAGTTTGACTTCACGATTATTAAGGAAATAAATTGATTTTACTGTAGAGTACACTGTCGACACTGTTTAGACATTATTTTGACACTGTTTTGATGTAGATTTCTTTGTCAAATAAAGAAATAAGGGAAGTGTGACTTTGTTTTTGAAACATTCAAAAAAGGAAAGTGCAACAATCTTTTGTAAAGAGAGGGGGTACTTAACTTTTGTAAGTATGAATAGTTGATCTATCGAGAGCACTTAACTTTTTTACTCTTTAAAACTTGAATGTATTATAAAATATTTAGTCCTATTTTAGAATAATATTAATTACTACGTATATTTTACTCGTGTTCTTAAAAAACTGTTAATGTATTATTAGAATCTTGACCACAAATAACTTACTAAGAACTTGTTCAGCAGTAAGTCGTTCACGTGGGTCTGGATGAAGCATTTTCTTTATAAGATCCTTAGCATTTTTAGAAATATTTCGCCAAGGGTGACCATTGAAACAGACTTCAGCGCGTGCAACTGCTCTAAGCATACCATCCCTATTCCCTGAATATACAAATTAGTCCTCTTTTAAAATGGGAAAACATTTTTCCATCAAAAGAAAAGGAAGTGGAAAATAATTTGATGAGAAGATAAAACAAATCATCAATACTATTATTGCTAATTGATTCAGATGGTACTTTAGTCCCCTTTCTATGAAAAAAGAGAATAGTCCTCATTTAAAATATAAATCACATTATTATAATAACTCATATTTAGGACAATTTCTATTTTAAAATTTTCACTGAGGTGTGGAAGTTATTTGATAATTTACACCACATTTAATTTATATGTTTTAAATCATCACAACCGTGTCACCCATGTGGAAATTATTGGACAATTTACACCATATTTATAAAAAGAAATACGTAGTAGTGTTAATAAGCAAAATAAGATTGGAGTTACTTTTCTGGCTGTATTGGCTGAAGTTACTGTAGATGGTCATTTTAGCTATTTTTACATATAATTTTTTCTTAATTTTATCAATAAAATGTATTTTAAAAATTATTTTTTCTCAAGTCAGCAGAATCAGCCAATGCAACCACTTCAGCAAGAACTTCGTAAATTTCAGCAGAATCAGCCGATTTTCGTGCTACCAAACGGGTTCCAAGGATGCTTACGAACCTCCCCAAAAGGGATATTTAAAACTAAGAAGGACGAAGAGCAAGACCCCAGCGCCCCAAATATCAACCTTCGGGCCATGTGTGCCGCCTCTTAAAACTTCAGGAGCCACATAATAGTCACTGAAGGTTTTAAGCTTACATGGCTCTCCTAAAGATCAAGAAATTAAAACAAGAAAGTTAATCAGTACTCTTATCATGCCAGAGCAGCACAGATAATCTTCAAGCTAAGTGTGTGATATTTCTTAAGATTTTTTTTATTTGTTCCAAATTTTATATATATATATATATATATATATATATATTAATAGAGTAGAGATCAAATAAAAGGACCGTTTATATGAAAAGTGAGAAAAGATCTTAACCATTCGTTTAATTCTCATCACCCAGATTGTCGCAAAACACTTGAGGCCTTTTTTCGTAAATTGAT